CACATCTTTGTAACAGCTTGTTATTTACTATGATGTCTGTTAATAATTTAATTTTAAAACCTAATTTGGTAATTATTAATCTAATTGTACAATTAATTGAATTATATCTCTTGAGGCAACATATGGTTTAGTTTGCTGCCTTCATTTGATCTTGTGATCCTTCTAGTTGATCTCTTTTTCATCCGCCATCAGCTTCCCTCTTGCAGTCAATGTTTAAGTTAATGCTAACATTTACTGTATTTTGGAAAACTTGTTATTTTTACATTATTTTTTTCTTCATAATAGCACGCATGTTTCTTTAGATGCGTGATGCGACAACAGCCGTTTTATTATGTTACTTGTAATCTCTATATTAATATTTAATATACTTTATAAATTTTCCCATTTCTTAAAATGCACAATCTTGTAAGTTTTGCTCTCATTATGAGGCATTTCCTTTATGCGTTAAGAATACTTCTCATAAGGTTATTGTCCGAATTAAGTAACTTGCTAGGCTTAAAATGTGATTTTGGGCTTTATTAAGACAGCAACTTAATGGTTCAAGCCTCTAACCTCCTCATATTATGCAATATTCAATAACAAGTCAACCTAGTGATTGCTACGATGGTTTCATTTAATACATTCATCATTTTCAACTTCAGTTGAATACAATTCTTAGGAAATAAGTATCATGTATCATGTTTATGAAGCCTTTACTTGACAATTCTATATGATAACAATGCAAACAAAATTTTTTGCTCTTTTTTTTACCCTTTCCGAGCTACTAGACTAAATCTCTTAACCAGTGGACTATATGTATTGCTACTAAATTGTTGACTTCCACAACACCCAGCACACCAATTGCATCTAGAGTTAGATGCCGTACAAATTTATCCTAATTAAAGCAGTGAGTTCTCAATATTAAACAAGTGATGAGCATATCGCTACTCTTTTGGGTTGTGTGACAAAATTTTTATAACTGATACATTATCCAATAGTGGCGCATTCCAATCGCAACGAAATTTGAGACTTGTGTAACTGCAATTCTTATCTCTTAATTAATTCTCTTTTTATTAAACCTTTTTTGATGGAAATTGCATTTTTTGGACAAAATGCTTGTTCTCAAAAACTTTTTTTTTGCATTTATTATTAATAATAAGTTCTTAATTGAATATTCCAGTTCTTCTTGGTGAATATATGAAACTCTCTAAATTACTTGACAATTAATTTTGCTCAATAATTAAATCTTAATAATTTCAAATACATATTTAGAATATTTAATATAACCAGATTGAAATGTCATAGAGGTTTTAGAAGCCTCATTTACTCCATAAAGTTTTCTGCAGCTGAAGCGAACTTTAATTCATTTGCAAATGGTATAGCTATTATTACAAGGACTACAAATTATTATTTGATGAACTTTAATAATAAGATATAAATGCATCAGAAGGTTAACTAAAATTTGGGCACTATTCCACATGCTGTATGCGGAAACATTACAATTCAAAGAACAACAATCAAACTTGTATTTGTAAAACAGTCTAAACATGTTATAAGTTGTTAATAAATTCATACACATGAAGTATTTTATTATATTACAACTAAAGATAGTCACATTTTGTTTTGTTTCTTTAAGCAATTCCAATAATTGTATAATTATGTTGCTGGATAATGATACTTAAGCCTAATCAGCTAGCACCCACCTTCACCTTTTTTGCCAATAAAGCCAAAACTTATTATGATGATCTACCTTCATAATAGTTTTATTAAACTTATCCAACATCCATCAATGCCTTATATACTTCTTGTTTAGATTCTAGATATTTGACATCTGATATTACCTAAACAATCAGTTGCTATTATTTTTAAGGTGAAGCCAAGAGGAAATTGTAGGTCTTATGATATCTCATAAAATTTTAATTATAGAGATTCCAATTCTTGCTGTTTAGACTCTGGCTCAGATTTCCGTGTTATTGCAATGCGTTTGTATAAATAGTAGATGCCATTGCCACAAGAAAACTTTTCGTTGCTGAATTTAAAATATTATTATTTAAGAATAGATATGCATCAGCTTTTGAATTGAACGCAGCCATTAACGTTAAGGGATTCATATTTAGATTGCTTCAATTACTACTAGGAAAGCAGATATTACTAAATCAATTTAACGGTTAATTTTAAATCATCTGAGCTTAATTCTACTATGCCTCAAAAATTGTATTAGATACAGGAGTTGCTAGACCATTCACATTATGTATCTGTCGAGGGATGAAGTGCAATCTGTTATGAGAAGCCGAATTCCGAACTACAATATTAATAGGGTTTGTCTTCTATCAAATATTTACACTCTTCTTATAAAGAGCAATTTAAAATTAACCACCTGAACATTACCTTCTTATGGCTTAAGTAGATGAGCTTTAAACATGTAATTCTCTAACTGTTTCCCATTACTTAGCAGCACTGCTTATCTGCATTTAATGTCCAAATCGTTTCATAAGTTCTACTTCTTACTAATGTTTAAATTTTTCGAGATCAATGCATTAGCAGTAATAGTTATATTAGTTATATTTCTTTAGTCATAGCAAATAATATTTTAGTTAAAATTCTGACCCTGATATATGTTTTTATTAATTCATAATTGGAGCTTGCATTGCTTGCAACATAACCTAATAAAGATGTGTGTTGTTGTTACCTAATGTCTCATATTAAAATCTTTGAATGTTATAATTTTTTCAATCAAGCAAGATTTGAACTTAGTTTCATTTGGGACAGCTTTAGCACATTTGATATATGTATTAATTTAAATACTGGAAACCAAAATTTCACCTACTTCTCCATTTTATCAAGCCTATATAGCAATAAACATGATCACCACAGATAGGAATTCTGTTTTAGCAATATGTAAATGGACTGCTACTAGTGTCCTTGACATCAGTTAATGTTCAAACTGTTTAATATGGTACAGACTATGCATACCTTGGAAGAATTGTATAAATAGATTCATCTGAGCTGAACTCATATCCTAAACTTAATATCTTTAGGCATTATTTGAACTTAGACAACTCACTAATGCAAAAAAGCAAAGTATGCAAACAGGGTTATATTAATTTCGAATCATTTGAATAATTAAGACATGCTAAGAGTTAATTTGCAAATGGGGAATACTTTGAGACAAAAAAGTAACTAATTATATGCTGCAAAGCCTCCTCCATCTCACTACCTCAACAATTACTAGCAACCATCATAAAGTTGATGCAAGGAAGAGAACATTAGCTAATAAGCGGAGAATTTAAATAGACCGTAATTATAAAATGATGAGATTGTTAACAACATCACCTACTAACAGGATAATATGCATCAATTAAGATGTTTATAAACTCCAAAAGGAATCAGTCTTAAGTGTCACGTATTAGATTTATTCAAAAATATTCTTTTACTCTTTAAACTTTATTGTATGCTGTAATTTGGGTTTTGTTCTGTCAATGTATTTGAGTCCTGGATTAGTCGAACTAATTCCAAAGGTAGAAAAGCATAGCTTAGATCATAAATAATCTTTAGTTCTTAGGGTTCAACTTTGACAGAATTGTCTCAATCAATTATTCATAGAACTCTTCAACCATTTAAACCAAATGTTTCTAGAACTTCAGTAAGGTTGTACCCCTTTAACTCAACCATCAAAGAGGAAAAATTATCATGCTTAATTATAGAGGCACAACCGCTTTTTATAATTGTGAATGAACTAAAACAAGTCTTATATTGTAGATTTCAATCATCCTTAAAAGGATAATTACTACAAGTCTCAGTAGCAAAAGCAATCAAAAGAAATGATTCTCTTAAATTACACTGGCAATAATTAAGTGATGCGAGAACTCTACATATAAGAGGAATGCATCTATTTATAGTTATTTATAATGCATTTTCCTGATAAAATTTTGGTCAAAAAGTTCATACCATAATATCATAATCCTAACATTTGTATTCTTGTTTAATATTCATTGCTGCTCAAATTCTTGATCTTCGCAAATTGTTTCTACTCACTTGACGTTCTAAATTTACAGTACAATGTGAGGGTTTTTACATCAATACATTATATAAGGATTCGAATGGTGTTAACAATCTCCTATGTTTACAAATTTGTTATTATCATTTTCCAATCATTTTGGTGACCTTCTCAATTTTCACCAACCTTTAGAATTTAATCTCTTTCTTGCTTTATTGTTGTTGGCTTTTGAAGGACTCTATTTATTCATTTGTGAAAAATAGGGGATATTTGATTTCTGTAAAAAGATCCTTCAACTTACAACCTTTTCAAATATTATGTAATAAAATGTTATAGTTAAAAGACTTGAATTTATATGTTAAATTGCCAGAAGCATTGATTAATATAAAGTAAAATCCAAATGAATTTAGCAGGATTATAGCTCTAGTAAATATTCAACAAAAATTATCAGCCTGGCTCAAAATGCTATTTTACTTAAGGTTCTTGATTTATCTCTGATTTAAATGAATTATCAAACTTTGTTATCTAATATGGACACCAACTTTTGCAAATAATAGATGAACCAAGTGAATACTAATTTAATTCAAATCAGATTTGAAATATAATCAATAATCCAAAAATTCGAAATGGTTTATAATTGAAAGGAAAATGTTTTATTGAATCTTGCGCTCAAGAGGTACTTTTTTTTACAAAATTAAAATACTCAAAGTAATTCTGAATGATTTTTTTAAGCTTAGAAAGCTAGAACAAATCGTTAGAATTGAACTAAAGTTTTTCAAATTTTAACCTATGGAAGAATATCAATTAATTAGGATGTTAAATCGAAAGATTCACAACCTATTATATCTAATGTACTCATTGTGAGATTCAAGCGAAACAAAGAAGATAAATTGTAAAAATAAATTAATTTCGCTGTGGTTTGTAAAATATTAAATAATTAGCTATCATAAACAAAGAATATAAAAGAAAGTAAATTAAAAGTTCTATTTTAATGCAAACATTGTAGATATTTATTATTATTATTATGCCTGTGAATAACATCATCGTCTTTAACAATTACTTTTAATAGAAATAGGATAATAAAATCAGAACATAAATTTCTAAATTAGATTTATAAAATAAATAAATGGGATAGCAAGGGAATTAAAAGTTAAAATGTTAGCAAGATGATCATTAGGATGATATAGAAACGATTTGCTATAATTAATTTTGTCAAGACTTCAGATTAAATTGTTTTAAATGTAATAAGAGAAAAATCCATCTTGATCATTCGAATGATGTTGAAAAAATCAATAGTTTGATTGGATTTATTGAAAATACGAATAAAGTATGTGATAATTTGATTGATGATCTTAATTCATATGTAGAAAATCTAAATCAATCATTTTCTTAATTAAAAAGAGGAATCAGATTAAAATATTCAATACAAAAAGAAAGATTAATAAATTTAAGCTCAAAGCAATTACATGACTATTTGAATTCAACCATAACACTAATTGAATATAAACAATCAGTGAAATAAATCATTTCTGCTTAGGCTAAGAAATTGACTCATACATTTAATAATTTATATGAATAATTATAATTATTGTCATTTAATTATTATTAGGTTGATAGTAGTTCAATAAAATTATCAGAAGATTTATATGATAAAGGTAATTTTGTATTATAATTTTTAGGTTTTGATTTATTTTTGAAAACTAATTATTCAGAGGCAATAGATATTTTAGATATGTCAATTCAATTTAATCCTAAGAACTACTTATCTCTGGGGTGCAAAGGTGAATATTATAGTAAAATTAATAGGTGCGTGCTTACGAAAGTTAAATAAGTATGAGGATGCAATAAGTTGGCTCAATAAAATATTATCTATTAATCCTAAGCATATTTTTTCCATATTGGAAAAAGGTTGATTGAATGATAATTAAATTAATAGGTAAATGTTNCTTGATTTATCTCTGATTTAAATGAATTATCAAACTTTGTTATCTAATATGGACACCAACTTTTGCAAATAATAGATGAACCAAGTGAATACTAATTTAATTCAAATCAGATTTGAAATATAATCAATAATCCAAAAATTCGAAATGGTTTATAATTGAAAGGAAAATGTTTTATTGAATCTTGCGCTCAAGAGGTACTTTTTTTTACAAAATTAAAATACTCAAAGTAATTCTGAATGATTTTTTTAAGCTTAGAAAGCTAGAACAAATCGTTAGAATTGAACTAAAGTTTTTCAAATTTTAACCTATGGAAGAATATCAATTAATTAGGATGTTAAATCGAAAGATTCACAACCTATTATATCTAATGTACTCATTGTGAGATTCAAGCGAAACAAAGAAGATAAATTGTAAAAATAAATTAATTTCGCTGTGGTTTGTAAAATATTAAATAATTAGCTATCATAAACAAAGAATATAAAAGAAAGTAAATTAAAAGTTCTATTTTAATGCAAACATTGTAGATATTTATTATTATTATTATGCCTGTGAATAACATCATCGTCTTTAACAATTACTTTTAATAGAAATAGGATAATAAAATCAGAACATAAATTTCTAAATTAGATTTATAAAATAAATAAATGGGATAGCAAGGGAATTAAAAGTTAAAATGTTAGCAAGATGATCATTAGGATGATATAGAAACGATTTGCTATAATTAATTTTGTCAAGACTTCAGATTAAATTGTTTTAAATGTAATAAGAGAAAAATCCATCTTGATCATTCGAATGATGTTGAAAAAATCAATAGTTTGATTGGATTTATTGAAAATACGAATAAAGTATGTGATAATTTGATTGATGATCTTAATTCATATGTAGAAAATCTAAATCAATCATTTTCTTAATTAAAAAGAGGAATCAGATTAAAATATTCAATACAAAAAGAAAGATTAATAAATTTAAGCTCAAAGCAATTACATGACTATTTGAATTCAACCATAACACTAATTGAATATAAACAATCAGTGAAATAAATCATTTCTGCTTAGGCTAAGAAATTGACTCATACATTTAATAATTTATATGAATAATTATAATTATTGTCATTTAATTATTATTAGGTTGATAGTAGTTCAATAAAATTATCAGAAGATTTATATGATAAAGGTAATTTTGTATTATAATTTTTAGGTTTTGATTTATTTTTGAAAACTAATTATTCAGAGGCAATAGATATTTTAGATATGTCAATTCAATTTAATCCTAAGAACTACTTATCTCTGGGGTGCAAAGGTGAATATTATAGTAAAATTAATAGGTGCGTGCTTACGAAAGTTAAATAAGTATGAGGATGCAATAAGTTGGCTCAATAAAATATTATCTATTAATCCTAAGCATATTTTTTCCATATTGGAAAAAGGTTGATTGAATGATAATTAAATTAATAGGTAAATGTTTAAGATTGTTAAATCAATATGAGGATGCAATCATTTGGTTAGATTAAGCATTAGCAATTGATCCTAAGCATGTTTTTTCCTTATCCTAAAAAGGTTGATCGATTAATACATTAATAGGAGAATGTTTAAGAATGTTAAAAAAATATGAGGAGGCAATTTTTTGGCTGGATCAAGCATTAGCTATTGATCCGAAGGATGTTTTTTCATTATCCGAAAAAGGTTGATTGACTCATAATTAAATTAATAGGTGCATGCTTACGATAGTTAAATAAGTATGAGGATGCAATCTGTTGGCTAGATCAAGCATTAGCAATTAATCCTAAGCATGTTTTCGCTATAAAAATCAAAGGTATATTGAATCTTAATATTTAATAGAATTTTGCAAGTAGGAATTGAGTTAATGAATTTATTTTAATTAATAAAATTAATAATGCCATTACGGTCTAATAGTTAATTATTGCTCAGTGTGCAGATCATATCCTTTTACTTATTCCTTTCTATGCACACCATATTATTAATAATAGAAAGAATGAATTAATATTCTGAGAAAAAGTCTCAGAAAATAAATATATATATGAGAGTAAAATCTTCAATTTTAGTTGTAATTTCAATATAAAAATTTCTCAATATATATATGTTTCAGAAGGTTTTATATATATAAAGACTTCTGCTTCTCTAGTAGAGCAGATTAGAAGAATTTAGAAATCTACCTAGAGAAATTGCTGAGGACTGAAAAGGACATTCTCAAACTTATTGCATGAGATTAGAAAAAGCTATCATACATGTGCACAGTATTTTCGAGACAACCAGAAGTTAAAATTTATATTATAAAATAAGCATGAAACTCCAGGTTCTGAAGAATTTAGCCTCTTTTTTTTTTAAATGATTTTCAAATGAAATTGTGATTATTTATACCTTTAAGATTGAGGTTAGTTAAATTTAAGAAAATGTTATATAGATAAAATTTAATTTAATTAATGAGAAGCATGTTAAGATTCTGAAACAAAGTAGAAAATAAAGTAATCCAAATAAACTCATTATAAACTATGCCATCTTTTTTTATATTTTTATTTGAAAACTTAATCCAATTAAAATTTCATTTATATTAATTTTGTAGATTTCTTTATTTTTTGCCAAAGAAATCTTAATATTTTAACTATGATTTATTAATGTCAGAATGAATTTGAAGTCGCAACAAACAAAGCAGAAAGTTGAAATTAAAGTTTATTTAAAGAAACTTTTTAATTTTGTTCCATGTTCAAGGAAATGGAATTGGACTTTGATTATTTTAGACATTTTAGAAAGAGGGATTTTAAATAAATAAAAGAAACTTCATGTTAGTGTATACACTAATGTTGATATCATTGGCAAAAAATGAAACAAACAGAGATATTTTTATTTATTGCTCGAACATTAATAATAAAATAACTTTAACAATTATTGTTTAAATCAAGCAGGTTCGTATAATTAGTGTAAAGATTGGTTTAAATCTAAGATTTTAACATTTTCATACACTTATTACTTGTACAGTAGTGGAATTCTTGAAAATATAATATTAATTGTGTACATATATTTACAGATATAAAATACAAAAATATAAAATGATGTCTTTGGAATAGAAAAGGAAAGTTTGTTAAAAACATTAGATGGAGATTATAACTATTGATTTAAAGTTATCCACAGGTAAGGAGGAGAAATACCTTTATATAAAGTGTTTAATAGAGAAGATTGATATTTAAAATATGGTTTTGGTGGATGTAACTAAAATTATAATTAGGGAGATGAAAAGTGAATTATAATAATTATAGACAATTAAATTTAATTAAAACTAAAAAAGAATAGAAAAATTTAAATAAATTGAATGCTTGATTAAAGAATACAAATTTTAGGTTTAGAATGGAATTTAATATAATAAATCAACTTCATTAGAAAATATAATTAATTGAAAAGGATTTAGAAGAATTAGATTAAAAATCTAAAATTTATAAATTTGAAGATGAAGTTGAAATTCTATCATCAAATTATAAAGGAAGTTTTAATTATGAAATTCCTATAGAATTTGATAAATTAGAAGATGATAATCAATTTTATGATTCTCTCTAATCAATGTTTTAATCATTTACAAATAATCACTCATATACATAAGTTATTGATATATTATAATAGAATCAAAAAATTGAAAAGTCAAAGGAAATTAAAGTATCTAGTATTTAAAAAGAGAAACAAGTAGATAAATCAGTAATTATTGTATATTAATATTTAGAAAACACCATCTCTCAACATCAAATGCAATAAACATGGAAAAGAAATAATAATGTTGAATTTAGAACCAAATGAAACTTAAATTTCAAG